ACAAAAATCCAGAGCGATTTTGTAACAGGATAACAGAAGGTGTGAGGAGTTACCCGATGTTTGCCGCCATTTTGTCAGCGATCTCTCCCATTCAAAATGGCGGAGACCATCGGGCTCGATTCAGTTCAATTATGTTATGATTGATTTTCACCGTTAAACCGCGCAATTGCGCACGTCTGGGACCTAGCATTTATTTAAAAAAAAAAGAACAATGAGGGAACAAAGCGAGAGCGTTGAAGTCAACTGAGGGAAAGTGGTGTCCTACTTGTGCTCGCCCCCTCGCACCCAGTAGTCAGACGACGTCCAACACAGGGAATGCCATCGTCCATATGAAACCCCAGGTCTCACTGTTCTGTTAATCGAGAGGTATAGTGACTCCATGTGAGTGAGATCGAGTTTATGTGTACATGTGAGACACGGTAGATGGTTTTATGTAATCGAGCGTGTAACGAAGGCCCGAGTGTGTCGCAAGATTACATGAATGAGTCTCCACCTCCTCCTGCCCCACCCCCTCGTCACATCATCGAACAATCATTTTATTTCAGAATCGCATCGATCGTTACAACACATCGATTCCACCATTTTCCTCTATTTTATATTGAAGAACTTGCAAAAAATATCAATGAGCGGTGAACACTCGTATCCTGTTGCTGTTTTAATATTTCTTTTTAATATTTCTAATCATAAAATAACTTTATCACCGGCACCTCGAAGATAATCCACAGTATCACAGACCCAATGACGAATTCAATCCATAGAAATTTTCAGGCAGTAGCTTAATAAGGTTTAATAATTTCGGTACGAAAAATATAGCGATTTCTTAACGATCTCTACACTAGAGTAATCTCTAGATCGATCACGCAAATCAGGACAATCGATTCGTTTAGGGATATCTCTTGAAAAATAATTGAGAGCAATGATATTTCGCCAGCATAATACTTCAACGCAGTAAACAATTTACATAATAATCCTTTCATTTCTGTTATTTTTGAAAATAATATAATGATACCGTGATATCTCGACTAGTAACACTTTTCCGGCTGATATTTTCGGGAAGTAATATAGTGACATTATAGTAGTTTTTCGGAATATTTTGTGAGATAATATTGCGATAATATTGAGAAAATGGAAGAAAAATATTCTAGGGTGAGACTTCCCTTCAATTTGAATACAAAATTGATTCATGTTTTTACGTTTCCTGTGGTAACACATCCATAAAAACCCACAACCACCGCTAAATTATTTACGACACATGTTTTATTCCGTACTAAACCATTTATAGAGTTTTTTAAAAATTCCGTACAACTATTTTTATTACTGAAACCAAAAGATCTCTTTATTGAAGTTCTGAGGACTTGGTCTATCTCGATACGTCATGAGTACTCCTCTTTATTCGATAAGGCAATAATTCTGCAACATAATTGTGTAGGCCAGCATTTCACTGACGTTCATGCTCTGATTGTCGAATCGTTCTCCCTAAACGTCGCCTCGGAAGCAATCCGCCCACCCATGAGATTTAACTGCCGGATGTGTCAGCTTTCATTACCGTCTCGTCATTTTTTTTTTCCATTAATTTTGAGATCAAAGGGCGAAAAATCACTGAAATTCTCGTGCCCTTATTTCGAAGAAATGGGAAATGGATATCTGGGGAGAGTTTAAATAAACAATCCGTCCAACTGGAATATCTTATACATCACATCTCATTATTTCCTTACGATTCTTACATCATTTCACTCGCAATTTCCCATTTTCATCTTTATTACACATTTCTTTACAGCAAATTCTAATTCAATGACAAAGTGGGGAATCGTGACGAGACAAATTTAACAATTATTCTGTAATTATTTATGGATTTGTAATTGCAATAAAAATTTATCCTGATAAAGATTACCCCGAGACTTTAATTACACTTCCCTCATCCCCCGTTAACGTAGAAACCCATAAAATCCACTTCATCACTGAATTAATCTTTCAAATCTGTCATAACCCAGAGATAAATAAAACACGTTAAAAATCTAAAGGTATCCTCATACTTTCCGTTATCTTCCACGGCGATAGAGTTTGAGAAAAAAAAAATATCGTGGACTGTTCGATTGAACTTTGGTAGAGCACTTTAATACCGAAAAGAAAAAAAAATACAGAACAAGATTATGTAGAAAATAGATAATATTATGACGTAGGAATCAGTTAATGATAACATTAAAAATATCATCATTGAATTATTTACATCTGTGTACGTGAAAAAAAGACACTCTTCATGAAAATTATTATCAAATAATTATCTCATACAAAGCACACTTAAGTATAATCTACTTAATTATTAATTTGCGCAAAATATCGTAGAAATAATTGTGACGGAAATATGAATATTCTGTTCACCTGGTTTGCAGAATGGATAATCCACGAGAATATGTAAGTACGTAGAAAATAAATTGACATTGTTTTAAATTCGCACTTTCACATGGACGGTATCGTGCATTGCAATAGTAATCTTTCAGTTGCATTTTCATAATTTTTATCTCATTCCTCTCAATGTTTTTGATATTTTTTGCCAGAAGAGTGAATGAAAAATTCTCGGACTTTTGTTCACTTCTGCCCAATCTTATGATTATCTACTTCAATCGCTGTTTTAGCGTCGTGGTGTTTATTTTTAGAAAATTTAATTGACGATCCATTGGAGAACACTGGTATCAGCACCACCAGCTGATACCAGGCGTGTATCGTCTTGAAGGAATGATACGTTGGTCACATGACTCGAGTGGCCGCCGTAGGCGTGTGATAATGACTGGAAAAATATAATGGAATTTTAAGTTTATTACAAAAAAGAGATTAAAGTAATGGAGAGCCGGGGCTGCAGCAGATACAAGTGGCCGCGACAATTTGTCACAACAATTTGATCAGATCGAATGATTAATGAGTGCGCTGAAAATCACGAAGCAACTGGTGACATCACGCAATTTATTCATCACTTGAGTTCAATGTTTGGAAAAATCACGAAAGCGGCTCTGTCAACATTTTTATTAGAATTTATTATCCAGAAATTCATAGAGAACACTGGGCGTATGGAGTGCGGCCCATTTTCTGAGGGACCAATTCTTTCCTATTACTGATATTTTCATTAGTCCCAATAAAAAAATAATTCAGAACTCAAGTTCACTCCACGATTGCTCGTCTTGTTCGGTAATTTTTCTCCAACTTTGTTCTCCGCTCAAGAAGATCTTAAAAAGGGGACAAAAGTGCCTTAATTGACGCCTTTGTGTCTTAATTCGAGGCACCATTTTTTGTTGCGTACATCACTGTACAGTGCAATGACATGTTCAAGTGAAATACAAGTGTGAGGAGCAGAGGCAGAGGAAATTCGCCTGTCAACCGAAAAAAACATGTCGCGAAAATTGAGAAAACAAGTCGATCCGAGCCGCCGATCTCGATCGACTGCTAAATTTTGCATTCAGAAAATAATTACATAACAATTAAATTATTATTATTAAAAAATAATAATGTCGTGACTCTCCAATTACTTTTTTCATCCGTATCATGAAACTATCGATTAATTTATCGTAAGCATAGGGGAGAAAACGATTGCATGTAATGGAAAAGAAATTTGAAAATTGAAGAAAATATGGACTTACCTTCGGTTGGCAAACGGGATGACTGAAAAGCCTGACTTTTCCGAAATCATCTCCAGTCGCTAAGAGCTTTCCATCTCCACTCCTAGCGCAGTTATTGACGTCGGTACCATCAGCCCCTTCTGGCCATATACCGATGGTCTCGAATGATATAACACAAGTGTGAGTTGTCCAGTCGACGTCCCTAAGAGTTGATGATTGAGGAATTTGTCTGCAAACCCCTGCATTCCCTGATAATAAATTCAATCTAATTAACTCCCTCATCAAAAATTTAATAAAAAATTTGATTGACTGTACTGACTGTATTGAGCTGTACTCACAGTATAATAATTCATAATCCCCACTATTGCTCCTCAAGTACTGGCCATCCACAGACCAATCTAGATGTGTGATGAAACTGGAATGTCCCTAAAATAAAAATCAGAAGATTATCTTGAATGAAATAATTCAATCATTCATCCATTCATCATCGACAGAAGCTTTGCACTTGTGCCAATAAAAAAATAGGTGGAGATGTGAAAGTACTCGTCATTTCTTTCGTCATATCACAAATTTATGGTCATATGACGAGTCTAAAATGTTTGCACATCCCTAATGGCTAGTCTAGTCTAGTGCGGAAAATTTTGCAACGGAAATGAATCGGAGATTTTCTACTGCTATTTCTCACTTTCGAGATTACGCAATAGATTCCGGGACGAAACGGGAGTACAATTAAGAGATTTTAATAATTAAAAAATCCATTCTGCCCCGTATTCTTTTGCTCGAAGTATGAGAGAAAAGAATGTGTATCCACTGTAAATTATTTGTCTTACACGAATACGACGTATCCTCTTTGGCTACAAATTCGAAGGAAATTATGAGACTGACAAACTGTCAGGATTCCCTGATCTGAAATTCATGTTTTATTCGGTGACTATTCTAAACTTCATTCAATAATAATATTACCTCTCAAAATATTCAGTAAAAATTGTGAAGCAATACTTTTCTTAGCTGTAATATTTTTTATTGTGAATTTTTCAGGGAATATCTTGAGCTATTATTTGGCAGGTAATTTTTTCTTCGAGCTGAATAAATTTTTGGATGGAAAAATAGTCTCACCATGCACCTCCCAACGCGACTGTACTTCCTGGCATCCTCATTCACTTGATAAATGTAAATGTGATTGTCCCTCGAGCCCAGGGCGAGTAATGTTCCATCAGGAGAGAATCTAACAACCTAGAGACAACCATAATCACATTATCACTGGATTCTTCAATTATCCACGCCATCAAAGAACTTTCTAAATATTTCTTGGTGCAAGTCCTCGTTAAGGGAATAATTTTATCCTGATCTAATGCAGACCTAATGCAGAAAATTTGATGTTTCACCTGAATAGCTTCAGAGCCATCGGTATGTTGAGTATAGAATTCCCTAGATTCGCTGTCAATCACGAGCCATTTCCCCGAGACACATCCCACGACCATAACTCCACCATCAGGTGAAAAGCAAACGCTCTGGGCTTGTTCCTAGACCGTGTAAATAATTTTCACTGAATCATCGAATTAAAAAATAAAAATTATCCGAATTATCATAATAAATTATTAAAATCCTACCCCAATGTCTTTACTCCAAACAACCGAATGGCTGAGACTATCCCACATCTGCAGGAGTCTATCATGACCCGAAGTAGCGAATTGAGGAAGAGTCGGATGGGCAGCAAGTCCCCAGACTTCTTCAGTGTGTCCTAGCATAGCTGGACAGAATCCCATCTCGATGTCCCCAACGAGAATGCAATTCCTAGTCGTACCAATCAACAATTGGGATCCTCTACCCTCCGAGACCGTTCGAATTCCACCGAAGTGATCCTCAATTTGCGCTCCATCCCCAGTGGAATTCAGGGAACCATCAAAGTAGAGGATTCTCCCATCTTTACCACCTCCAGTCACAACATTTCCATTCTTAAGAACGCAAATGGAGAAGATTGATCCTTCGTGGAGATTCCGAACTAGTCGTGATATCGTATTTGTACCTGAATCATAAACAATTATTTCAAAACTCCACTAAGAAATAATGATGATGATGATGATGATGATGATGATGATGATGATGATGATGATGATGATGATCACGAGAAGACCCAATGATTCAGGTCAAATCGATAATAAATAATAATTATCATTAATAATAATAATAAATAATAATCAAGAAAATAGATAGCGTTTTTTCGTTTTTTCGTTTGTTCTTCAGGAATTATATTAAATTCAACCAAAAATGTTCGAAATTATTGGCAATGATGGATCTACAGGACCTACTGGATCCTCCAGAATCGTCAATTGAATCTCACCTCTCGCCCAGACGATGATATTCCCATTGCTATCACCCGTAAGTGTATCCCCATTCTGATTGAACGCAACGCAAGTAACATATCTCGGTTTCTCCCTGCTCTCGAATACCCCCATCCTCTTGTACAACATTCCACCATTGTCCAGAGACCAAAACGACACATGTCCCTTGCCACAGGAGACTATCTGGTTGCGTTCCAGAGGATGCCATTCAGCGCACACGACCGTATCCACTGAACACTGCAATTTCAATGGTACAAAAAATAATAATAAAAATTCAGTTCCATTGCCCTGAGAGGGGGGTACAAACAGTGGCCCATAATTGCTCGTAAAAGCCATCTTGCCGACTACTTTGATGCCATCATCGGTGGTTTATACCACATGACCGTAAAATCATAACAGTTACAGATGATTTTCATTGCTATTTCGCTGGTTCTTTCAAGTGTTTCGAGATTTATTTAAGAATGATTTTTATCTTTTGTTTCCGAGACCTTGGGGCCATGCCCAGCGGAAAATCGTGTCATTGAGACTTTCGAGATACTTCTCCTCAATTCAAGTACATCCCAGGGCTATTTTCTCGGGTAAGAATTATTTTTTGCGCCTCCAGTAATTTACCTTGGTCTCGGTGATTTTTGTACCGCGTTCTCCTTTTTGCCAATCCCAAATCGAGATATTGTGATCAGATGTCTCGTCAATTGCGCAGAGGTAACTACCACCATCGGCTTTTGAGAAGGACAAGCAGCAGATTGAACCGTCGAATTCACCACTTCCGATCACAGTTAGGGTTGCCAGACTCACAGCATTCCATATTCGTATGTGGGGCTGTCAAAAATAGATCTTTCATTATTTTAGGTTTTTATTTCATAATATAAAATGGGATCCAATCGTTTCCATTACAATTCAATATTTCAACTCGCTAAAGACTTCTGTTTTTTAATTTTTCTTCCAAATTTTAAGAGATCTGAACGTTCGAGTGAGTCAGTGACAGATACTGTAAGGCTTCTAGACGCCTTTCTAAACCCATCCAGAAGTGTCAAGGTCAATTTATCCAGTGGAATGATATCGATTGCATAATCGATATCATTACATGATGAGAAGCCAAGTCACACCCACGACTTTAAATAAATTCCGCAAATCCCTTTTGCGTCGGTGAATTCGTCGCTTCGTTGGAACGCGATGAATATTCCATCCAGAGAAATTATTAATTTCCATAATAGCCATCAAATTAATTACATTTAAACAGACGGTAACAGGACTTTCACACCCAATGAAAACTTTCCACTTTTTACATCACCAGATATGATCTTTTAATGAATAAAATCCATTAACCAGAACCCTAACAATCATTCAAATCATCAATCACCTTTGACACCTTCAATTCATCGCTAACTCTTTAATCAAACGCTCAATAAATATCACGAACCCTGAAGATGAATGAGATCTCGAATGATCTCGAATCTAAACGAAATAATCTGTAATGAAAATTCACTGGTAGTTTCAAAGAAGATTATAAAAAGTTAGCCACTCCGCTGAAAGGATGTAATTCAACAGCAACTCAATCCCTTTCGCCAATTCCAACAAGCCATTAATCCATTATTTGATCTACAATTCGTAATATAATTACTGCTATTTGCTTCCACTGCTGTGGCAGGAGTACTCCCGCAAACTTGTGAAAGAAAAGTTTTGTTCAAGAACATGAAGGAGAAAGACTAACCATAGCTTCTCTCCTGTCAGTCCCTGCAACTTGGCCAGTGGCAACGACCATCTTATTCGGATGAATGGCCATGCTGAAAATTGATAAATTAATTACACCATTAAACCTCAGATAACATCGGTCTTTGTGATAACACGAGAAGTCGGTGAATCGTATTACCATTTGACATCATCGGTGTGCCCCAGGTAGTGCCTTTGACTGTGCTCCTCCATATTGTAAAGCACCACAACAGCAGCAACGAAATAAACAATTTCACCAGTTGGCAAAAGATGTAGATTACTCCTGCAGTCTCTACCTCTGTATCCATAAACCCAATCTAATTTTAGTTTACTTTGGGGCGGTGTATTAACCTTGTGCGGATCATAGGTGTCAGCTACAGGTGTTGGCACGTACAGCACTACAGGTCTTCCTCTGAGGTACATCCGTACTGTACCCTCGGACTCATTGTACTGCATTTCTCTTGTACTGTAGAAGAGAGAAATAATAATTCGTTAAGTTCAGTTCACGAAGTAATTCCAAGCACTTTGTTATTTTTTATAAGTCATTCCCTCATCCTCTGAGGTAAATTAAAATAACGTGCGAGTGGAGATCAAAATATTATCAGGCCTTTGTAGTCAACGCACTACTGCTATTTATTTCTAGTATTTTATATATTTTTTATGAAAGAGTCGAAAGAAATGAAAAAGATTTAATGCTTTGGGAATTTTAATGATTCGGGGGATTAACAAAATGAATTTCGAGCGCGGGAAATCAATTTTTTTGGAAGATTTGAAAGTTGCAGGAGTAGGGGAATTATTTGTGGAACTCATGAGCGTAATTGTTATGATTATGGAATTACGTTTGGAATTATTATTCAACTGCGTAGATCGGTGTTTTACTGGAATTGGGCTTATCGTCTCGATTAATGCAAATTACTTGTTCTATTATCGTTGGCGATTAAATTTTTTAACGCAATGACGATTACGCGATGTCCTCGGGTGTTACGCTTTATCTTTACGATTACAATGGATAGTGGAGGACGGAAATTCCACGGTGATATTGTTATACTCTCAAGAGCACAGCTCTAACTGCTGTCGACAATTTTCGCGTGTTCTCTATTCCCACTCTTGGAACATAGCGTCATTGACGCCAATAACCGAAGGTAATATTTTTCAGGGGACATTGGGTGAATCATGAAGAGAACAATTTATAGAAAATTTTCACCTCGCGTTTAGTAATCGCGGCATTTGGGGGTTTTTAGGATTTTTTATTTAAATTTTAGGGCAAAATTGACATTTTTTCCGGAATTTTTTTGGAGAATTTCATTATTTTTGGGATTTTTAATTGATAGAAAATTGTGATTATTAGGACGTTGGGGAAAACTCTTCAGAGCTGATGTACCCCGGGTAAAAAAAATTGTAATCGGAATATTTTTCTAAGTTTTCAAAAAATTTCGGGAAAACTTTTCAGAAAATTTTTGTTATGAAACAAAAAAAATCGGAGGACAAAACTATTTTATTCTTGGGAAAGGTTTTGAAAAATTTTTCAAAAATTTGAATAGAAAATTTTTTTGATAATTTAGATGGCGTATTTTTTGAGAATATTGAAAAATCAAAAACGTAAGAAAGCAACGGTATAATAAAAAAAAATTATATTCGCAAAAAAATCTCGAAAATCACAAAAAAAAACTTCCTATTCAAATTTTTGAAAAATTTTTCAAAACATTGTTTTGTTTCCCGAGTTTTTTTTTCAAAAGAAAATTTTCTTGACAAGTTCTCCAGAAATTTTTTGAAAATTTGGAAAAAATATTCCGATTACAATTTTTTTACCCGGGATCGTACGATTATTGAATACCAGTGTGAGTTTTTAAATAATTTTTCCTCAGTTCACATCCTTGAGAGCGCAATGGTATCTAAATTTGAAATCCTCCGAAACCTTGGGATTCATTTCACCGGGGTATTCAATGGAATAGAAACCGAGGAGAATTCACTTTTTATTATTGCTGGCAGAGAGCCAACGAGCCGAGAAAATTCGTGTGGAATAACCAGGAAAAGAGTCGGAATTATTATGTTGCGTTGGCAAAGGAAACGCATCGCTTTCTTCGGCATCGAACCGAGGAATAATAAATTATCATTTCATATGGTGAGGAGAATTCCTCAGGAGAAATGTATTATTAAAGACCAATTGAAGATACGGATGAAGAATCCAACAATTCGTAAATTTCACGAGGGTTGGGTGTCGGCACCGGAAAATTATGGAATAATCCTCGAATTTCATCTGAAATTCGCAACAAAATCTCGATATCATCACAAAAAAAACACTGTCAACGCCCCAATTACTGACAGGAGACATACTTCAATTTAAAAACTGCATGAAAGAATCATTTGTTGATTTATTCTGTATGAAAAACTCGCATTGACGCCCATATATAATTAACCCAAAATGAAATTGACAGATGAATCTATTTACCCGTGCTTGACGTTGCTGAGGACCGGGGGCTTGAAGAGGTTGAACAGTGACTTTGTTGATGCTGACAATCTACAAACGTCAAATGAAAACGAAAGGAGAGAGGCATGCGGGTGCATCATGAAAAAAATAAAAATAAACAAGTAAATAATAAACAATCGGATAAATCAAACGAGATGCAATGTGGAAGGGTAGAATAAGCACGAGATTACTTACCTTGATGTACCAAGTTGACAGTTGTTGGCAGCTGACTGTGGAGAGTGTGTAAAATCTCCAGTTGACGACCAGCGTTTTGCTCTCCTCAGACTACTCTGTGGTGGGCCATTTGTCCTCGTTGTTGGCGATCTGGGGATAATTCAATTAGAATGGATTGAGCAATTCGTATCTTCAGAGAGTACAAGTCAAATGATTATTTTGTTGTTCTTGGGGGTGGATTTACCTGGCGACAGGTAGAGGAGTTGCCCTGGGGCTTGGGGATGGAACTGGTGATACACTGCTGCTGCTTGGGCTGTCTGAATGAAGAGAGCCAGTTGATTGGTAGTGAACCGATCGTCTGGAAGTACCGAATCAATGAATCGATCATGACATCG